AGTTGATTTACAATGTTGTGTTAGTTTCAGGTGTAGAGCAAAGTGATTTAGTTATACATATACATATATCTATTCTTTTTTCAGATTCTTTCCCCATATAGGTTATTACAGAATATTGAGTAGAGCTCCCTGTGCTATACAGTAGGTCCTTGTTGATGATCTATTTTATATATAGTAGTGTGTATATGTCAATCCCAAACTCCTAATTTATCCCTACCCCCTTTCCCATATGGTAACCATACGTTTGTTTTTGAAGTCTGTCAGTCTGTTTCTGTTTTGTAAATAAGTTAATTTGTTACCATTTTTAGACTCCACATATAAGTGATATCATGTGGTATTTGTCTTTCTCTGTCTGCCTTACTTCATTAGTATGATCACCTCTAGGTCCATCCATGTTGCTGTAAATGGCATTATTTCATTCTTTTTCATGGCTAACAGCCCATTGTATATATGTACCACATCTTCTTTACCCATTCATCTGTCGATTGGACATTTAGGTTGTTTCCACTTCCTGGCTACTGTGAATAATGCTGCAATGAACATTCCAATGCATGTATCTTTTCAAATTATGGTTTTCTCCGGATGAATGCCCAGGAGTGGGATTGCTGGATCATGTGGTAGTTCTATTTAGTTTTTTAAGGAACCTCCACACTGTTCTCCATAGTGGGTGTAAAAATTTACATTCCAAACAACAGTGTAGGAAGGTTTCCTTCTCTCCACACCCGCTCCAGCATTTATTGTTTGTAGACTTTTTTATGACGGCCATTCTGACCTGTGTGAGGTGATACCTCATCGTACTTTTGATCTGCATTTCTCTAATAATTAGCGATGTTGAGCAACTTTTCACATGCTTTTTGGCCATCTGTATGTCTTCTTTGGAGAAATGTCTATTTAGATCATCTATAGGTGGGCTTTTTCTTTTTTTCTTTTCAAAGACTGGGGTGATACAAAGACAGAGGGGCAGAGGAATGTTAGATATCCTAACATGAAAAGAGGGTCATTGAAATGATGGACCGTGGAATCATATCTGAAGAAAGAGGAAAGCAAAGAAAAGAGAGGGCTGATGGACTGGGGGTACCTATCAAGTTAAGAAAAGGTCGTAAGTGGACATTGCTGAGAAAGTAAGATAGAAGGAGAAATGGTTGATGTCTGAGAGGCATGGAGAACTGAGTGGATAGGTGACTGCTATGGTGTGGAGGGTAATGTTCACGTGGCAGGCCTTCTAAGTCAGTGCTTCCCAGCATTTTCACATCGTGGGGCAAATAAAAACATGATAATATTTTTTGTAGCTCATGGAGATGAACAGATGAGTCTGACAACAGCCAGAGGCAACCAGGCCACTCTGAGGGCTGGGGGAAAACAATATGACCTGTTCATGGCATATCTGGTGGGATGCTCTCTATAGAATTTCAGGAAACCATGTGGAAAATGAGGGCAAGTGACCAGGAGGTCCATAGATAACAAAAAGGTGTTATGGCCAGAGAACGGATTAGGGGGAGACATCCACTTCAATACAGGCAAGGAAAGAAAGAATACAGACAGTCCCCCGCTTATGATGGTTTGACGTACAATTGTTTGATCTTACAATGGTGCAAAAACGATTTGCGTACAGTAGAAACTGTACTTCAAGTTTTGAATTTTGATCTTTTCCCAGGCTAGAGATATGCTGTATGATACGGTTCCAGAATCACCAAATTCTCCTATAAAAGCAACTTGTGCTTTCAGTACCCCATAGATTCCGTTCTGGTCAATTGCACGGATGACATCATACTGATAAGACCTTGAAAGCAGGAAAGAGCAGATAGATACACTGTATGTATTAATAAAACACACACACACACGCCAGAGCATGGGAGATAAACCCCATAAAAATTGGGAAGCCTATCACTCAGGGACATTCCTGAGAATCCAATAGTCTGAGGACAGTGGGAATATCCCCTCCAAATAAAGGAGTTATTACATGTTGAACCCTTTACCACTACCAAGTGAGATAAAATCTCCATTACAGCAGATATTCCTTAGCCTGTTTTGTTCTCACATAGGAGACACTCATAAATATATTTGTTGATAAATGCATGAAATTTTCCACTGGACCCAGAGTAAGGAAAGATCTGTGTGTTACAATGACATAAGATCTGTACATTGGGGCTTCCCTGGTGGCGCAGTGGTTAAGAATCTGCCTGCCAATGCAGGGGACACGGGTTCAAGCCCAGGTCTGGGAAGATCCCACATGCTATGGAGCAGCTAAGCCCCTGTGCCACAACTATTGAGCCTGCGCTCTAGAGCCCGTGAGCCACAACTACTGAGCCCATGTGCCACAACTACTGAAGCCTGCGCACCTAGAGCCCGTGCTCCACAACAAGAGAAGCCACCGCAATGAGAAGCCCACGCACTGCAATGAAGAGTAGCCCCCGCTCGCCGCAACTAGAGAAAGCCTGTGCGCAGCAATGAAGACCCAATGCAGCCAAAAATAAATAAATAAAATAAATAAATTTAAAAAAAAAAGATCTGTATATTTGGTTTTTGTCCTCAGTTCCCTGCACCAAGTTCCTAAAACGCTTGTAATTTCCTGAGCGATAGGGGTGGGAGGGTTGTCTTTTGTTATTCATAATAAGCCCCCTTCAACCCTACCTGAGTTTATACTAATGAGATGACTCTTGATAGGCCCCTAGTTAGCTCTGGATGGGGGTCGGTTGCACGAAGAACCAATCATGTGATTAGAGGATTGGAACTTTCAGCCCCACTCCCTGACCTGCAGAGAGGCTAGGGAGATTGAGCTTGTTCACTGATGGCCAGTGATTTAATCAACCATGCTTCCATAATGGAAATTCCATAAACAGCCTGAACAACGGGATTCAGAGGGCTTCCAGCTTGGTAACTGCATCGCGGTGCTGGGAGGCGGTGAGCCCGGAGAGGGCATGGGAGCTTTGCATCCCTCCCCCATACCTTGCTCTGTGTATCTCTTCTGTTTGGCTGTTCCCAAGTTGCATCCTTTATAATAAGTCAGTAGTACTAAGTAAAGGGCCTTCTTGAGTTCTGCGAGCCATTCTAGCAAATTATGGAACCCAAGGAGGGAGTCCTGGTAACCCCAGTTTTCTAGCCAGTTGAAAATGAAAATTTCATTCATTTATCAACAAATATATTTATGAATGTCTCCTATGTGAGAACAAAACAGGCTAAGGAATATCTGCTGTAATGGAGATTTTATCTCATTTGGTAGTGGCAAAGGGATCAACATGTAATAACTCCTTTATTTGGAGTGGATATTCCCACTGTCCTCAGAAGTATGGGAGGCCTGGGACTTGTGGCTGGAGTTTGAAGTGGGGGTGGCCTTGTGGGACTGAGCCCTTAACTTGTGGGGTCTGATGATAACTCCAAGTGGTTAGTATACCCAGATTCAGAATTGAACTGAGGACTTCCCTGGTGGCACAGTGGTTAAGAATCCGCCTGCTAATGCAGGGGACACGGGTTCGAGCCCTGATCTGGGAAGATCCCACATGCCGCAGAGCAACTAAGCCCGTGTGCCACAACTACCCAGCGCACGCGGCTAGAGCCTGTGCTCTGTAATGAGAAGCCACCGCAATGAGTAGCCCCCCGCTCAGCAACGAACACCCAACGCAGCCAAAAATAAATAAATAAATTTATTTAAAAAAAAAAAAAAAAGAATTGAATCATTGGACACTCATTTCGTGTCCAGAGTTAGAGAACTGGTGGTTGATGTGAAAACAAAAACAAAAACAAAACAAAAAACCCAACACACACACACATTTGGTGTCAGAAATGTTGGGAGCAAAAACCAGTTCATAATCTGTACCCAGGTAAACTCTTCCCTCAAAACCCTCCATTACAGAGAGTGCTACTAAGACTTAAGTAGATCAGATGACTTCTGTGGCTCTCCGTCAGCTTCTTCCCCAAGTCTCCCCAGTACCTGCTTAATGGGCTTTTGAACAAAGCAGCCATGGTGGGCTATGTATGGATTTGCTTCATCAAAGCTATGGAACTTTGTCACTGATGTCGGCCCACCTTGCTGGCAGCAGCAAGTAGCGCTGGGCCCCCAGTGTGGTACGGTTTCCTAGGGAGACCAGCCAAATACCTGGTCACCCGAGGAGCACATTGGACCCTTTCCATCATGGATTGGGCAATGACTTTTTCCTGCCTGGGTTGTAATTAACTCTGGGTTGTATTTGCTTTCCTTGCCTTCCTCACACCTGCCAATGGCAGCATCTGTGTACACGTTCAATGATCCTATTCACCGTCATGTTAACACACACAATATTGCTTCTGATCAAGGAACCCAGTTTATTAGGAAGTTAGGGGGCGGGGCCGTGTACTTGATCACCCGAAAGCAGCTACTCTCAGAGAACAGAGGCACGTCCTGTTTGAGACTGGGTTTCAGTGCCAGATTGGAGACAGCATCTTTGGGGTTGGACTGCTGTCCTGCAGGACGGGTAAGCACTCTGAACCAGTGGCACATACATGATGCCAGATTACACAAGACCTGGGAACCCTACGGGGTCACAGCTGATGACTCACTCTTTAAATGTTTGCTTCCTGTTCCTGCTACCCTGAACTCTGCTGTTTTGAAGTTTGAATGCCTTAAACGGGGAACACTTCCACCGGAGAGCACAACTGCAGTAAACTGTGAGTGGTGATAGCCCCTTGACTATTTGGGGTATCTCAGGAGTGCCACTTCAGGGTCAAGCAAAAAGAGTGATTGATTTGGGCAAGAAGGGGGGCCTGACCCCCCGGGGGGGGTCAAGGAGGTGTGTGAATAGAACCTGGGGTCGTCCCTGGAGAACCTCCAACGAATACCATGTCCTGACTCCTTCCACATCCTGATGCGGGGCTCATAGAGACCCCCCCTCCCCTAAGCAGGGCACATAATGACAGAGAGGGTCTGTGTCTACCGCCTTTGCAGGGCACAAAAGTGGGCATACAGGCTCCACACCCCTCCCACCCCAACCATACCCCCCCCAACTTCTGCAGAGCACACAGCGTCCAGGTGCCCCCCCCAGCCCCTCCCACCTCCGTAGGGCACGCAGCCGGGTACACAGAGCTCCCGCATCCCTTCGGACCCCTCCCTTCGCGACGCGAGAGTCTTCCACCCTAGGACTCGGCCTCAAAGCCTTCTCAGTAGTCGGCCTGGAAGACACCCAGCAGTAGCAACGCGGGCAGCTGCCGGTCGCCGAGCCTCCGCGGCCGCCACGAGGCCCCGCCCAGCGGCAGCCTAGAGCAAGGCCGCGCCGGGGACGACTGCAGAGCACGGTGAGTGAGCCCGGCCAGCAGGGAGGGACCCGGGCGTCCCGGTCCCCGCCCCACCCCAGCCCCGGGCAGTGCCTCCCCACCTTCAGCTCCCGCTTGCTTCTTGGCTCGTCAATCCGTCTCAGGGCCCCAGAGCCGCCCCTAAAAAAGGACCCCCGTGCTCTGGGGCCCGGGCAGACCAGCCCCTTGGGCCCTCCCCTCTTGCAGGAACCAGGAATCTGGCACCCCCAGCCCCCAGTCTCGTCCTCATTAAGCTTCTGAGCCCCTCCCTCTTTCCAGGAGCCAGGATTGCAAGCCAAAAATATCTCTCCCTTACAGACCCAAGAGGCCTGGCTAGCAACCACATCTGCTCCGAAAACCCAGGAGCCTGAGCCGCAATTGCTCTTTTGAGCCAAGATTCTGGGCCCGCGGCCTCGGAGTCCATGCCCCCAACTCCTATGGCCTCGATCTCAGAAGTCCTGCTACCAACAACCCCCCTCCCCTGCCCCCATCGACAGGGACATATGGGAGCTAGGGGTCTGGCCCATCAGTCCCTTACACCGCGAATCCCAGTGTAAATGAGCATTAGGAGACCCATTTTGCTCTTCCCTCAAATTCCTTACTTACAGGAATCCAACCACTGTTCTTTTGGGGACCCAGGAGTCGGGGACCTCAGCCCAGAAACCCCCTAAAGCCTAGGGATCGGCACACCCTCAACTCTTTCCTATTTCAGGGACCCAGGAGACACAGACCCTAGCAAACAGACCCCATTAAATTGAGAGGCCCAGTCCCCCAACCCACCGCGACCTAGAAGTCCAAAATTTCGTCCATCCTGGAAGAGCAGGGCCAGAGCAGAGGAGGAGGGAGGGGCCAGGAAGGGAGAGGGAGAACGGATTGAGGTGAGACTGGGGTGGGGACCTGAGCTGGGGGGCTCTGTCCTAAACAAAGTCTAAACAGACGGGTTGCCATGGCAACGGCCTTCCCCGGGCCTGCTCTGGAGACCTCCAGTGCTGTGTCGAGGAGGGCACCCCCAGGAGCATCCACTCCGCCAGCTGTTGTGTCTTCCTGTTTTGTCACCACGGAAACGGTGACCTCAGCCCTCCACCCCTACTGCTGGCGGGGCGGGAGAGCTGCTGTGTATTTATCTCTGGGGATGTGGTCTTATCTTGGCCCCGCCCTCGGGGCGGGACTGGGATAGCCCTGGCAGAGGGTGTCCCTTACTCGGCTCCAGCCCAGAGCTCCGGCCCCTCCCCCAGCCCTGCCCGCGCTCACTCCCCGGCCCTCCAACCGCACCCAGACCGCAGACCCTCCTAGTCTGCAGCTGTCGCTTCTGCACCAGCCGCAGCCGCCACAGGCCCGTAAGGTGAGGCTGAGGGATCCCCCGAGAATGGGAGCAGCGTCCAGGATTCTTGGGTGCAGAGGGATTCCAAATGTCTTCAGTCCCTAGAAAGATGGGCTGGGTCAGGACTCGGGTTCTGGAGAGGAGAGGGCTGGGGACATGAACTCATACGGGTCATACATCTGAAAAAGGAGGGGGAGTGGGGCCTGGACCCCTGGGTCTGAGGGAGGAGGGGCCGGGGGTCTGGACTCCTTGGTCTGAGTGGGGAGGGGCCGGGGGTCTGGATCCTGGGTCTGAGGGAGGAGGGGCTGGGGACCTGGACCCCTGGGTCTGAGGGAGGAGGGGCCGGGGGCCTGGATCCCTGGGTCTGATGGAGGAGGGGGCTGGGGGCCCGGACTCCTGGGTCTGATGGAGGAGGGGCTGGGGCCTGGAGAAGCTTGGAATTGGGAGTCCTGGGTTTGAGAAGGGGAGTGGCTGGGGTTCAGAATTACTGACCCCCTCCCCATCCAGGGGACAGAATCCGAACTTTAGACTCAAAAGGCCAGAGATGGAGCTTCAGCACCCGTGGTCCCAAAGTGAAGATGGAGCTGGGCCCCTTGGTGCTGAGAGCACAGGGCGCGCTTCTGAGTTTGCGGAGTGATGGGGTGTGGTGTCTGGCGAGGAGGTGGGGAGAGGACTGGGCGTGGCAGCGAAATCCTCAGCTTCTCCACGAAGCCAAAGGGTGTTTTCCTCTCCCTCCTCGGGTCTCTGGCAGTTCTTTCCTGAGCTCTGACCTCAGGCGACGGCTGGGGGCTCTGAGAGTGGAGACGGACCCGTCCTCTCCGGGTGGTCCGTGCGCTAACTTACCTTCCAGGGGAGACTTAACTGACTGTGGCCCGCCCTCTGCCTCCTGGGCCTGTCCCAACTTCCTCCTAACGGGTCGGGGGAAGCGGGAGGTGGCCCGGGAGGTCCAGCTGTAGCTGGGAGACCAGCCTTACGGGAGGTGCTGGGAGGTGTGGCCACTCTCTCTGGACTGGATTCCAACGCTGTGCACAGTTTCCCGCCGCGGGGCGGGAGGCGTCCGCAAGGCGAACCCAGGGGTCCGGGTACATAGCCACTCCTCTCTTAGAGGCGCTCTTGGGGGCGGGGTCCAGGCTCCCGGCCCACCTTATGGGGACCCAGAACTCACATTTTGAAGGACCCAGAAATTCGAACGTGCAGGCTTCTCCTCCTGCGACCCGGCGCCCGGGCTCTGCCCCCCTTCCCCCGCCGGAATCCGCGAGCACGGCGGGGGTCCCAGCACCGCCTCCCGGCCCCCGCCACATTCCAAATGGCTGGGCTGACTTGAATCCCTTATAAGGACGGAGACGCGGCGCCGCCCGGGCCGCCCGCCCCCTCAGCCACCGCCCAGGGCCCTCCGGCCGCCGGCCCCGCGGCTTTCCTGGCGGGGGCAGGGTTACGCTCATACACGCCCACGCCGGCCCGCGGGCCGCGCACTTTGGCTAGGTTCCCTCCACTCCCGTCCTCGCAGTTTGCGGAAAGAGGAAAGAAGGGGCGGGGCGGGGCGGGGCGGGGCTTCCCCGGGGTCACCATCCCCGACCTCTTAGGGGCTCCGGGCCAAATCCCCGCCCTGGCTGGGAGGCGCGCCCAGGGTCTGCGGAGCCTCACCGCGCGTTCTGGGTGAGCCCCGGGCAGTAGGCCGGCTGGTCGCCTGGGTCCCGGGAGGGTGGAGCCGGGTCTGAGCGGACGCTGACGTTGTTTCTCCCTCCTGTCCTCTGACTAGCCTTTTCCAGGTGTCTGACTTAATCCGCCTCCAGAGCCGGATCTTTCTCTGGTGGGATCTTCAGCAAAGACCGCTGGTGAGTGGGCTGGGGGCTCTGACTCTTGGGTCTGAGGAGGGAGAGGTTCTGATGTCTGGACTCCTGGGTCTGAGGGAGACGGACCTGAGGCCTGAGCTGCTCTGTCAGAGGAAGGAGTGGGCTGAGGGCCCTGAACATTGGGTTCTGAGATAAGAGTTGGGGAGTGCAGTGCTCCTGGGTCTTAAGGAGGAGGGGCTGGGGACTTGGACTCCTGGATCCTGAGACCTGGGACCTTGCGTTCCAAAGAGAGGGGCCCAGACACCTGTGTATATGAGGAAGAAGTATGTTCAGCAGCTGTGGCCTCCTGTGTCCCCAGGAAGCTATTGTACAGGGACAGCTGGGCTAAAGGCTGTGACACTGCCCTCCTGACACTGGAAGGAGGATGTTGCATTGTCTCGGGGCTGAGAGAGGCCTTCTGAGATTTTTAGAGGTGGCAACCAAGAGATTAGCTATTTTAGGGCCTGAGGGAGGACCTGGACACCTGGTCAGGAATTGAGGCCAGGCCTTCATTCCTGAGGGTCTTTAGGACAAGGACATCAAAGTCAAAGGTTCTAAAGGGATAGAAGAAAGAAGTTGATTTCCCTGAGTCTGGTGTGCTCACGGCTGAGGGCCCAGAGCCCTGGGGTCTGAAGCTGTATTTCTGAATGAGGGAGAGCTAGAGATTTCAGTGGCACTGGGCCAGCTGAGAGAATCTGGGGAGCTGAGTTTCCCAGAAGTTGGGGAACTAGGGGGCTGGACCTCATGTTGGGGAAGGGGGAGAGGCTTCCTTTGGGTTGAAGTACTCCAGACCGAAATCCATTTGGCCATAGCAGGGGTGCTGCCGAGATTGGTAAGACCCAGTTCCAGAAGGGAGAGAGGGCTCTTGTCTTCCAGGAGCTGGGGCCAGCCTCCTGCTTAGTGAGAGGAGACAGGCTGGAAGGACGGAAGCTCTGATCAGATGTGGGTCCCTGAGAAGGTTTCCATGTAGAGGCTGGACTCCTGAATGTCTGGAGGCTGGAAATGTTTAGGACCCTTAGGTGAAAGAGAGGCTGGGCTGCAGCGTCCTGGGTACCCAAAGGGAGGAAGTGCAGAGATGGAGTTTCTGAGAGGTCACAGAAGACAGGGCCTCTTCTTCTGCTGCTGCTGCTTCTTTTTTTTTTTTTTTTTTGCGGTACGCAGGCCTCTCACTATTGTGGCCTCTCCCGTTGCAGAGCACAGGCTCTGGACGCGCAGGCTCAGCGGCCATGGCTCACAGGCCCAGCCGCTCTGCGGCATGTGGGATCTTCCCAGACCGGGGCACGAACCCGTGTCCCCTGCATCGGCAGGTGGACTCTGAACCACTTCGCCACCAGGGAAGCCCTTTTTTTTTTTTTTTTTTTTAATATTTATTTATTTGGCTGCGCTGTGTTTTAGTTGCGGCACGCGGGATCTTTTAGTTGTGTCACGCGGGCTCTAGTTCCCTGACCAGGGATCAAACCTGGGCCCCCTGCATTGGAAGCTCTGAGTCTTAACCACTGGACTGCCAGGGAAGTCCCTAGAGCAGAATCTTGAGTGGCTGGGTTGCTGAGTCCCTGAGGGACGGAGGGCAGCTTTGTGTGTTTGGAGTGGAAAGAAAGATACGTGGTTTTACAGGAGTTGGCTTTTGGGGAGAGGAAAGGAGGGTCCTGGGAAGAAAAGAGATAGGGGACTACACTCCTGAGCTCTGACATGAGGCTGGAGGGAGGAGGAGGCTAGCACCGGGCGACCACCTCATCCCTGGAGGGCTGGGACTGGCCCAGTATGAAAACTCACATCCTGGGTACGCCTCAGCTAGAGTTGAGATTACGTTGTCCACACGCCCCCTCACTCCAGGGAGGCAAGTGCTGGGGGCCTGGATCCTCCAGTTTGGAACCTCCTTAGGACACCTTCTTTCCCCTCCACCCAGCCATGCCGGTGACGGTGACCCGCACCACCATCACGACCACGTCGTCGTCCTCGGGCCTGGGCTTCCCGACCACCGTGGGGTCCCCTCGGGCACTGACCCAGCCCCTGGGCCTCCTCCGCCTGCTGCAGCTGATCTCCACCTGTGTGGCCTTCTCGCTGGTGGCCAGTGTGGGCGCTTGGACGGGCGCCATGGGTAACTGGTCCATGTTTACCTGGTGCTTCTGCTTCGCCGTGACCCTGATCATCCTCATCGTTGAGTTAGGCGGGCTCCAGGCCCGCTTCCCCCTGTCCTGGCGCAACTTTCCCATCACCTACGCCTGCTACGCCGCCCTCTTCTGCCTCTCGGCCTCCATCATCTACCCTACCACGTACGTCCAGTTCTTGTCTCACGGCCGCTCCCGGGACCACGCCATTGCCGCCACCACCTTCTCCTGCATCGCTTGCGTGGCTTATGCCACCGAAGTGGCCTGGACCCGGGCACGGCCCGGCGAGATCACTGGCTACATGGCCACCGTGCCAGGCCTGCTCAAGGTGCTGGAGACCTTCGTGGCCTGCGTCATCTTCGCCTTCATCAGCAACCCCTACCTGTACCAGCACCAGCCGGCCCTAGAGTGGTGCGTGGCCGTGTACTCCATCTGCTTCATCCTGGCGGCCGTGGCCATCCTGCTGAACCTGGGCGACTGCACCAACATGCTGCCCGTCCCCTTCCCCAGTTTCCTGTCCGGGCTGGCCCTGCTCTCCGTCCTCTTCTACGCCACGGCTCTGGTCCTCTGGCCGCTCTACCAGTTCGACGAGAAGTACCACGGCCAGCCCCGGCGGTCCATGGATGGGAGCTGCAGCAGCAGCCACGCCTACTACGTGTGCTCCTGGGACCGCCGACTGGCTGTGGCCATCTTGACAGCCATTAACCTGCTGGCTTACGTGGCCGACCTGGTGTACTCGGCCCGCCTGGTTTTTGTCAGGGTCTGAGGCTCTGCCCTGGAGGGGCTACCGATTCCCTCTTCTCAGTGGAGGTTCTTTACCAAGTTCTGAGGCCGTCTGAGGTCCTCTTCCCGGCTCCCCTCTCTCCTGCGTTTCTCATACCCTTCCCAGCTCACCCTCCTCTCTTTTCTGTTTCTTTCACTCCTTCTGCTCTGTCTCCCTTTTGTTCTGTTTGGTTACAACATCCTGTTTGGCTTCCTTCTCTTTCTGCTCTCTTCTTTTCTACACGTTCTGCTTTGGGGCTCTTTTCTGGTCGTCCTGTTTGTTTTCTCAACTGCCTGTTGTCTGACCAGCTCTTCCCACTTTCCTTCTGATCGATCAGGAGCCCTGAGACTTCGTCCTTCTCTGCCCCACAGCCCACTCCCACCTCCAAAGGTGCTGAGCCCCACATCACACACCCCTTTTGCAGCTGTTCATACCCTGGGCCTCCAGAGGGGCCTCATTGCCAAAGCATGCCTGCCCACCCTGGCTGTGCCTTAGTTGGTGTGTATGTGTGTGTGTCTGGGGGGTGGGGGTGGGTAGCTAGGGATCGGGCCCCCTTTCTCCCAGTGGAGGCGGGGTGTACAGTGTACCTCCCCTTTAAGTTAAAAGAAAGAAAAAAACTCTGGAGGTCAATAATTTCCAGTGGGCGGGAGGCTTAAAGCATAGACCCTCGGTCCCTAGATCCCGCCTGGCGCTCAGCCTCGCCTGAGATCGGCTCCAGAATTTTTGCCAGGCTTACTAAAAACCCACTGCCTAGAGGCCATCTTAAAGGAAGCAAGGGGTGTATGACTTCCATCCCAACTACTCCCTGGGGTATCAAAACACTGGCAAAAAAACTGCATTGTCTTGAAGACAACTGTCTGAAGCATTTGTAAGGGCCAGTGATGTGGCCCTCCAGCCTCAGTGTCAAAAACTGCATCTCCTGCCTTTGCAGGGAGGAGAAGAAAATGGCCACTGCCAGCCTTAAAGGTGATGTTAGCCTGTTGTTTTTTTTTCTGGTCACGAGAGCAACAATCACTGGGTGGCCCTTTTCTTAAAAGGGAAGTTTCTTTTGAAAACAATTTTGGGGGGGGGGTGGGTTGGGGGGTGGGAATTGCTACTGTGCCATAGTCAAAGGAATTGCATTGCTTGAGTGTGTGGTGTACACACACGTGTGGTTGTGCGTGCTAGTTGCTTTCTGCTGCTGCTGCTTCCTGCTTCTCTGGGACTCACATGCGTAACATGATCTATATAAATGTATAAATATCTATTTTATTTTTTTTAAATTCCCTGGAGCTTCTGGTTCCCATCAGCCCCTGCTGTCAGTCATAGAGAGAAGCCTTGTCCCTTCTCCCACATCCATTATGTTCTTTTTTTTAAAACCCCAATATAAAGATAAAAGAATGACTTGTGCTTGCTTTATTAATGGGGAGGGCTCCAAGAGAGAGGGCAAGGCCGAGGTTGCTGGGTCTGGTAGGAGAACGGGGCTGGGGTGAAGACAGCTTTGGCCCCATCAGAAAAAAACTGAGTCTGGATCTTACACATTACTCTCTCTCAAATGAGGAGAGCTAGTTAGGATAGAAATGAACAAGACTTCTCCCTCCTTGGAGTCCCACGAGCACCTCAGAAATACCGTGTCCCATTCTGAGTGCAGCATCTTGCCTCCAAAATCAATGCTTTCAGGTTCCCATTTCTCACGGCGAGAACCCAGTCACCACTTCCTACCATCTGCCCTCTCAGTCATCAAACACTGTATACTTCCTCCTAAATCCTATTTATATCTCTCCCCTCCTCCAGGTTCCTTTCGTTTCACCTGAGCTACTGTCCCAGCCTCCTCCTTGGAGCATCCTACCTCCAGCCCACCCTGGCCCCAGAGGGATGCTTTCCTTTTCCGACATTCAGATCTGATCCTGTCCCCCTCTGCTCAAATCCTTCCGTATCCCACTCCACATTGCCTATAGGTAATACCAAAGCCCCTCAGTCAAGGCCTTTGGAATCTGACGCTGCCTCATTCCCACTCTCAGCTCCATTTTACCCTTAGTTCTAAGCTCCCTGACACACGTGGTCAATAAAACACTTCGATGAAGATCACATGAATTACTCCTGCCATGAATCTCTGTCCCACAGAAGGTCATCTTATCGGTTTCTCCAAGACAATCACAACTACATAAACACATGACTCTGGGAAAAATCAAGGATCATGCAACCCACTTTCTGCGTCTACACCCGCAAAAGCAATTGGCAAGATATATTGCAAGGGAGGTAAGGGTCCCGCTGGAAGAGGGGGAAGGGATAACTAGAGCAGGCGCACGTCTTTTTAGTGAGGAAAATCCTCCTTTCGATGTCTGCAGTGTCCATCCCAGAATTCTGACCTACACCAATCCCTACCTTGTCGAAGAGCGTCTCGCACCCCCACCCCTCCCCCATCCCACGCTTAAACCCCTTCTAGAAGGCACCAGACAGAACAGCTGTAGAACCTTGGGGTGATATGTTGGTGATGTGGGAAAGAACCCAAGCAGAACTAGAATAGAGCGCCGTGGGATTCCTAGGTCAATTTTCGGGGCCACCCCCGCCCCCTCTCCTCTCTCCTGGGGTACGGCGGACGCCTGGAGGTGGCTGGAGAGCCAGTGGACCCCATGTTTTGGGGTTTAGGAGAGTACTCGGATTCCCTTATCTCCCCTTCGGCTTCCAGAAGCTGGACCCCGACCCCCAAAAGTCACAGAGAGGATGTAGCGGCCGGCCCGAGTCCCCAGGCTCCGCCTCAGCGGGCCATCCCGCTTCGCGGGGCATGCCGGGAGAGAAAGTTCTCGGTCGCGCTGCGAGAACAGCTGATCGGCAGGCCCAGACTACAAGTCCCAGAATACATTGCACCCCGCAGCCCCGGGCGGGCCGTGGTTGTCCTTGGCAACAGCGGGGGTCTACCTGTAGAGCCGGGACTAGGAAGCGCTCGGGAGCTGGGGGAGGGACGGAGCGCGACCAGAGAGAGGCAGAGTCTCAGGTGGGGCGACGGAGGGGAGAGACAGGAGGAGACCTGACCGGGCCAACGTTTGGAGAGACCCTCCCAATCACCGGACAGAGATGCACAGAGTATTCCAGAGCCAGCGGGGGAAAGAGGGAGAGAGAGAACCCCAGAGACGAGAGGGATTCACAGAGCCAGAGAGATAAATAGAGTGGGTGAGGAAGGGACAAAGATAGAGTTGGGGAGGGGAGAAGGAGAGGGAGAGGGAGAGAGAGCAACTTAAACATTCCGAGAGAGACCCCCAGCGATAGAGAGATTGACAGAGCCAGAGAGTGGGTCAGAGAGAGCGACAGGCACAGAGAGATACAGAAGGAGGAAGAGGCACGCACGAACGGAGAGCGAGATTCGTAGAGACACAGGAAGGGAGAGAGGCAGAGACAAAAGCATCTACAAAGACACGGACACGGGGAGGAGGGGAGAGAAATCGAGGGAAATAGAAGAGGACATAGAAAATGAGACAGGGAGAGAGACAGAGATTGACTCTCAGAGAGAAAGACACGGAGGGAGGGAGAGACAGAGATCCACAGAGCCAGAGAGACAAAGAGACAGGGAGAGGAAGAGATTCAGGGAGACAGAAATGCAAGAATTTATGAGATGGGGAGAGACAGAGGGAGACTGATTCACAGTGAGACAGACATGGAGTGAGAGAGACGCACACACCAGGACTCAGAGGGGGTCACAGGATGAGTGACAGACATAAATGGAGATACACAGCGAAGAAAACAGGAAAATAAAAACAAATTCTCAGAGATAAGGAAGGAACCCAGACCCACCCAGAGAGACAGAGAGAGCGCCAGGACTAGGGAAAGGAACAGAGACCCAGGGAAACGGACACTCCCAGAGGGAGACCTAGAAGTACAAATTCACAGAAGCCTAGAGAGAGAAATCAAGACTCGGGTGGCATCAGAAAAATTGAGACACCAAGCCTCCCTGCTCACCATTGGACCCCAGCACTAATACAAAGTTTGTGCAATGAAACAGAGTGACACAATCAGACACAGAGATCGGAGAGGAGCTGCAGTGGCCTAACAGGATTCACCGAGGCACCCTAGTCGGGGAGGAAGACGGGGCCGGGCGACAGATTGGGGAGGGGGCAGGGCACGGCTTGGAGGATGCCCCCTCCCTTCAGCCAGCCCCCGGCGTGGGTGTGCGCACGTGTGTGTGTGTTGGAGGGGAGGGCATTTGTCCCAGGTCTCAAGGAGGGGGACGCCTTTAAGCCGAAACCCCGCCTCTCGGTCGTCATGGCAACGCCTCCCCCCACCCGGGGCTCCCACATTTCAGCAGGTGCCTGAGCTGGAGCTCCCACCACCGACGCCGCCCGTGCCTCCGGCTCCTCCGCGCCCTTGCCCTCGGCTCTCCGCCCCACTCGCCCGCTCCCCCTGGCGGAGCCGGCGCGACCCGGGGTGCCGCTCCCTGTCCTGCGCGCTCCGCTTCCGGAGGTGCCTCGCCCCTCTCCTTCCCACCTCGGAATCTCCCGCCGGCTCTTTTGCTCTTCCAAGCCTTCGGCTCCTTGCCTTTCCACCTGTTTCCCGAGAAAGGCAGGATCCTGGTCCCTGCTACGTTACTGGGGCCATGGCAGGCCTGGGCCCCGGCGGAGGCGATTCAGAGGGGGGACCCCGGCCCCTGTTTTGCAGAAAGGGGGCTCTGAGGCAGAAGGTGGTCCACGAAGTCAAGAGCCACAAGTTCACCGCTCGCTTCTTCAAGCAGCCAACCTTCTGCAGCCACTGCACTGACTTCATATGGTGAGGGAAGGGGGCTGGGGCCCTGAGGGATAAGGAGACTAGTGCTAAAGACCCCTGACGCACCAGACCCCACAGTGACGAGGAAAGCGGGGGCTGCAGCCCTGGCTCCTGGCCCTAGGGTAGGTGGGGGTCTAGGGGCCTGGGCCTGGACTCCTGGGTCAGAGAGAGGAGGGGCTGGGGCCCTGGACTTCTGGGTCTGAAGGAAGGGGCTGGGGGCCTGAGCTCCTGGGTCTGAGAGAAGAGAGGCTGGGGGGCCAGAATTTCCGGGTTCTGGAAAGGAGAGGCAGCTGGGGCTCAGACTCCTGGGTCCTGCAGGAGGAGGATGGGAGGACGGAGGCCTCCTATGACTGGCAGAGGTGAGAGGTCCAGGTACCCTTTTCTGCACTGACCTCAGATCCTTGACTCTTACAGGGGGATTGGAAAACAGGGCCTGCAATGTCAAGGTAAGAGCTGGGGACCTGGACTCCCAGGACCCTCAGGAGGGTGGAGGCTGGGGCCCCACAGCCTAGGCTGCTTGACACACGTGTTCTCTGGTCCCCAGAGAGGCGCGGGGGAGCCCGGGGCGGGGGGGTGTGGCAGAGACACAACCTGCAGTGGGGAGGGTGCTCTGACGGCGGGGCCAACGCGGAGGTGGTGCTGGGGGCCCCTCCCTCGGCCGGCTCCAGGTGGGGACAGATATTTGGAGAATCTGTTGCCATGGGAACAGTGAGATTTGGAAAAGGGGAGCTGAAGGGAGGGGGGGCTGGAGATGCAAAGTCAGAGCCCCCCCCTGCCGTTGCCATGACAACACCACCGTCCTAGGCAGGGGCCGGCCGGGCGGGGTCACCGATGGGCGGGTGGGGGCCGGGTGGGGCCGGCAGTTATGGGGGCCGGGAGAGGGGGCCGAGTCCTAAAGCACCAGCTGCTACTTGCTGAGAACTGAGTGAGTCAGGGAGGGGGGCGGGCCGGCAGCGGCGCCCCCAGACTCACTTCTGCCCAAGTTGATGCTCTCTGTTCTGTTGGAGGACCTCTCCCTGTGTTTCCTCTCTTCTAGTTGGCCTGACTCTCTCCTGGCTTTCTTATCGCTGTCTGTGGGTCTGTGTCAATGGGATCCTGTTTTCTCTCTGTCTCCATCTCTTTCTGTCTTTCTCTGTCTTCCTCTCTCTTTGCCTCTCTCTCTCTGTCTCTCTATCTCTGTGTCTCTGTCTCCCTCTGGCTGTGGGTATGCATTGGGCTCTCTGTGCTTTCTCTGTTTCTCTGATTCTCTGCATCTCTGTTTCTTTCTTTGGGTCCACGTTTTGAATTTCTGTCTCCCAGTGTCTCTGTCTCTGTCTCTCTGCATGTCAAGGTCTCTTTGATTTTCTCTGTATTGAACTCTATGGGGATCCTCCTCTCCTGGTTTTCTTTCTGTCTGGGTCTCCTCTGTTTCTGATTTTCTGTCCATTGGGGTCTCTCTCTGTCTCTGTGTCTCTATGATTCTCACCTTCAGTCTGCAGCTTTGTGGTTCATCGACGATGCCACGAATTTGTGACCTTCGAGTGTCCAGGCGCTGGGAAGGGCCCCCAGACAGACGTGAGTGCCCAGACACCTGGTTCTTCCTCCTCGGGCTGTGCCCCCGCCCTCACCCCCTCGGCGTCCGTCCCAATTTCTCCTGCTATTTTTAAGGC